AACTAGGTTATAGGAGATACAAATTCTTCCTCCTCTACAGCCAGATCCAGCTGTACAGGCACATGTGGTTTGTGGCACTGCAAACCACTTTGCAGCACCACAAACCAGACACCCAGTATGTTAAAACATGCCCTGTGCTGCAAATTTGCAGTGCAGGGGCAAAATTTGCTACCAGGAAATCCCGGTAGCAACAACAACAGAAAAGCAGCACACCTACAGGAGTGTGCACCAGCAGACACCGAAGCTTGGTCCTCCCATGAGCTCGGGCTTCTCCAGCACGCTGGGAGCTGGGAGGAGTAGGGAAACAGCAGTTTCCCCAAAGCAGGGCATTTTTCCCCGCACCAAAGCACATGTGCATGGGCATGTGCAGTGGCAAAAAGGTAGCAGCACAGATCTGCTCCATTACTTTTTGTGCCACTTTAAACACACGCCCCCTACATGTGGGGGTGTACCCTACAAATAGAGCATATTTTTTGGATAAGGAAGGGAATGCCATCAATTCTCCCAGAATGCTACCTTTGAATAGGAATACAGTATACAAGACACATGGGGCATTTATACACGTACCTTTGCCTGCTCTAATGCTTCAGAAATCCAGTGTGTTGGAGCAGACTCGATTAATCTGGCGCTACATTGCATACATTTGTATAAACAGCAAAATGTGAATTAATGTGCAGGAAGTGGCAGCAGTGAGCTTTTGAACTAAAACACCTCCAATGTCTTTCAGTTCAAAAGTGTGCCGTCACCATTTTCTCAGTGCTGACATGCATTTTGCCATTTATACAAATACTCAAGGAATCTGACTGTATAATTTCAAGAAAAAGATGTTAAATGAAACACCTAATCTGTTGCAAGTGTTAGATCTGTCAGACATGATTCAGTTACACCAGTGGTCCACGAACCTTTTAGACTCAAACAAAGCACCACTCAAAAAATGCCATTTTTTACTTTTTTTGACTACCGAAAAATAATAGAGAAATTCTGCTGCAAAGAACTCAGAAGCCCACAACAGGTCAGAGTATTTCTGACATTATAGATTTCCATTTGCAATCTCTGGGTGTATCTTGTGAATCATGTGTAAGTTTTTGCACACCTAAAAGTTGTAGAACCCACTTAAAAAAAAAAAAAAAAAATCCCCCTGCTCCAAAAAAAGTTACCTTTGAATACTGTCACAGAAGTCTTACCTCCCTTCAAATAGAAGGTGACCTGCCACTGCTTTGTTAGGTTTATAATGCACAGCTAGATTTTCTTGATTAAGGACCAGATTGTTTAGTTTTGTGAACAGAATTATTCACGAAGGCATTTAAGGGTGGGGGCGGGGGAAGGCTACATGGTATAGCACATATGTGCTCTGTGACTCAGGTGCTAAATCAAATACATAACTAATCAAACATGAAATAATGCTAAATCAAATACATAACTAGCATAGCTGGGTCCAGGATGACTCAGGCAGTCGATTTATAATTTCAGAGCTTAATTATCAGAATCATGGAAAATTAGGCTTGAAAGGGACCTCAGGAGGTCATCTAGTCCAACCCCCTGCTCAAAGCAGGACCATCCCTAACTAGATCATCCCAGCCAAGGCTCTGTCTAGCCAGGTTTTAAAAACCTCCAAAGATGGAGAGTCCACAGCCTCTCTGGGTAACCTGTTCCAGTGTTTTATTACCCTCCTAACTACCATAAAGAAGGGGTTCTGTCATCCAAGGAATGTTTGTGGATGCATGCCGATTTCTGCCATCAAAACTCAAGTTCTACTGACAGAACACTGGTATCCAACACCTAGTCCACATTACATTTAGACCAGGAGTTGGCAACTTTTTGCCACTGCAGGCCAACTGCTTGCAACTGAGTCCCTGCCATAAGCTGCATACTCTGCACCCCCCAGGAATCCATAGCTGCTGTGAAGGGAAGAAATAGGAAAAAGCAGGAGCCTCCTTTGCCACTGTGGTTAGCGTGTGCTGCCTATCTCCTGAGCTGCCAAAAACCGAATCCACCTTATTCACAGGTCAGATCCAGTCTGCAGACTCTAGGTTGCTGCTATCTGATATAAATAAAAAAAACTTTCTAAATTATATGCTCATGTCTTCATCTAAGAATCAATCATATTTAAAAAGGATGTGTAGCTATTATGAACTCTATCATAAAGACTTGCATATCCTGCTGTCTGATTACTTGGTTAGGGTGAACAGGCAATACTAATTAATTGGAGTATTTTGAGGTACCTGGAAAGATAAAAGAGCAGACTGAACTACGTTAGTAGATGCTGTATTGCAACTTAGATCAGGTTGCCAGAAAGTGGGGAAAAACAAAGTATCTAGAACTCTGAAGGGCAGTTATGCAGATCAGGAGCACTGCTGAGGAATGAATGTATGGCAGTTTCCACTGGAGTGAATGTAACCAAGCATGAAGTAGCCATAAACCTCCAAACCCGCTGTTCTGAGGATTGATTGTTGAGCAAGGGTTCAACAAGGACAAGCAAGATACACAGGGAAATATCCCAGGTCCTGCAGAGACTCCCAAAACATCCATCACAGCTCATCAGAAACACATTTCCTTCTTCCAAAATGTTTTTTTTCTATTGCAGCCACCCAATATTTCCTGCCTAGAACACATCATGTCATCACCACCTTCAGTAATCTCCTTTTACCCTGCCCTACTATAAAAACAAACATAACCTTTCACTTCACTGGTAATACAAGTTGGGGAAGAATAACTTATTTTAAATATGAGTTTGACCCTAGGCAACCATTGTCACAGGCATTGAAAGGAAGGTTCAGTGGGAAAATGGTGGACTGCTTTAGAAGCCTCACCACCTGTCCTTGTTGCTGCCAGTCACTTATGGAAGGTGGACCAAGCAAGGTAGTCCCATCAAGCAATTCTTCAAAGTTGAATCCTCAAATACAGTATTTTGAAATTCAGTAAAAGAACAAGTAAAAAATAAACACAAACTTTTTTGCAGGTAGTAATGGTCATTACGTAGAGATGAATTCACATACATTCAGATGATGATATTTAAGAACACTGCTGCACTTGGATTTTTCTTCCCCTTTGCACCTTATTGCCACTGAAACTGTGGCTTGTAATAAAATCTAAAGAACAGAAATTCCTATCCCTTCCTCAGTTTTGGCACCCACAAAGCAATCAGTTTGATACATGGATTACAGCCACTCCAAATAAAATGTAAGTGATGTAAATCAACAGAAAGGAATGCAAGAGAATAAGAAATATTGCTATAAGAACATGGAATAGTATTGCTATTCTATTTACTAGAATACTACAAAAAAAGATTTGCAACTAAGGACATCAAATTTTCCTCATTCCATCTAAAATAGATGCCAAAAACAATTAATTCAAGTTTACCATTAGGTTTTGGGGGTCCCTTTTTCTATACCAAATATAAATACTTGTATATTTTTGTGTTCTAGTGCAGATGCAGGATTAAGTTTGTCTATGGTCCAGACTGTTTGGAAGGGTATAGACATATTGACCTACAAAAGTCTATCTCCATTTTCTCCTACTGTTTCCTGTAATACGGTTTTCCTATAAAGAGTTAAAAAGAAAACAGAAGAAGCCCAAGGGGTAAATGATGCCACTTTTCAATCCAGTGATGTGTGAATGACAGTGGTTATCAAACTTCAGCTTTTCCATTTCTACTATCATTCTGTATGGACTGAATTAAGCACTGGATTAAGTGTAGTAATGGAAAACAGCAGTATAGCTTCTCTCATTTTTTAACAGGGAAAGTGACTATAGGATCAACTCTAATCACAGATATTGCCCAGAATGAACTTAGACCTGCCCTTTCACCCTGTCCCATGGTATCTGATATCTGGTATCTGATATCTGGCTGATATCTGCAGCAGTAGGGGAGCAGTCATGAAATAGAAACTAATGGACGAGCTGTATCAATTTACCTCATGAGCAGTATGCAGTTTTATAGCAAAAGTAAAGAATCCTAGCAGAAAACATTACCGAGAGGAAGCAAGCATTCAGTGGGGAGATGGGGCCAGAATGCATGTAGTTAGCCTGAGAGTAGGAAATATAAGGGCCTCTTTCAATATACGAATCTGGGACGAGAATACTAAATATATTTGGCCTAAGGTGGGAGAAAGGATCCTTACATTATTTTGGGGGGACTGGGTAGAGGAAAGGGAAGTAGTATGTTATTAAATGGTATCTGTGAGAAAATGGTGCATCTGAGAGATGCACCTTGTTGCTAAATGTAAAGTGGCACAAGGACCATTGCAGGTCAATTTAGAAGAAAATTATTTTTAAGGAGTGGCTGAAATCCTTGTGTACACTAATTTAAGAAGTTAAGCATTGCTTAATCATCTGGAAAAAATTAAAAGAAAAGCATTTTCCATGAAAACACCAATGCTTAAGATGCACAGAGGCAATCATTTTAGCTATTAGCAGAAACATTTAAAATATAGTTACAGCTGCCAGTAACCTAATTTTTACCTTTTGGCTTACTGCGGTTAAGGCAAACCTTTTTTACTTTTTTTGTAGCTACATTCTCAAGACTGGGAGGTTCCCAACAGAGATCACTACTGTTTAGGAATAGAAAATACAAAATCCTACAAACAGCATAAGTTACAAGACAAGTACAGCCACTCCCCCTACTAGGGAAAAAAGCAAGGACAAGAATGAAAACAAAACTCCACAAGTTTAGAAGTCACATACCACTGATAGTTGCTCTAGTTATATTTGATCTCCACCAAAAAAAAAAAAAAGCTACTAGTCCACTAGTTAAGGCTTTTGTTATGGAAAATATAGACAGGAAAATCTGAATTCCACATCAGAGAAACAAGAAGAAATAATTATGTGAGAATATTGTGTGAGATAATATACCATTTGGTATTTTTAAGTAACACATCAAGCACCACTTTCATTAGAAAGATATTAGTTCTTGGCATACCCGTCACAAAGTTCTACTCGTTTTGGTAGCATATCATTAAAAATGCATCATTTGCCTTGAAATAAATGCTGTTGGTACTAACATTTTTTGTGAAGTCTAAACAGGCAATATTTTCTCTTCTACTTCTCCAAAACCACTAAAGAGGAAAAAGAAAGGAACAGATTTTGAATCATCAAACTTTGTAACTTGCAGTCTACACACAAGGGTGAAAATTTAAATGTTATGATCTATAATATCACATTTCCTAATTAAATTAAGTTTTTTCCCCACTTAACATGGGGTGGGGGGGAGCCCCTCATCTTAGGATCAAGTATGAGATGGCATGGGGCAAATAGCTGCTGCAACTCCGACCTGAACCCTGGGTTGTGGCTGGAACTGCAGCTGCTGCCTGCTCCTCCCCACATCACCTCCTGTACCCTGACCATTCCTCCCCTACAGCCTTAGGCCCTTGCTGCCTTGTCTGTCCCCCATACTGCTTCTCTCTCCCCTCCACTCCACCCCCTCTTAGCTTTGTGCTGGTACCAGCAGGCTCTACCCCCAGTGCAGCCTGAGGCATGGAGCATGACCCCCACCAGAGCTGACACCACTTCTACGGGGCCGAGTTGGGGGTCATGCTCTGTGCCCCAGGCTGCACCAGGGGCAGAGCCTGCTGATGTCAAAGCAAAGGTAAGGGGGAGGTAGAGAGGCAGGTGGGGGGCAAGGATGGGGGAGAAGTGGGGAGGAGACCCAAGACTGCGGGGGGCAGAACTGGTGCAGAAGAG